TGAGTTAGCCAAATAAAACATTTTTCATGTATTCTTTAAATGCTATGATATATTATCTTTTCATAGTTCATAATTTATAATATTTTCATTGTCAAAATTTTACATGTTATAAATCTTGTTTATACCATATGGTGTGGGCAAGTCACCTAGTAAGATTATAAAAGAGAGGAGGACAAGAGAAGAAAAGGAGATCTTTTCACGACAAAGAGACTTGATATACTAGAAAGAATCATTGTTCTTCCTCCTTCACGATTGACTTTGTGTACCATCATTAATAATATGATTCACCTTTCTTCTTCATTTTTGTTTGTTTTATTCTTTCATTTGATTTAGTGTTTCATCCACGAAAGCTTTAATCCCAATTTTATTCTATTGTGAATCGAGATCGTAACCGATTTTTGCACTCACAATTTGGCACCGTCTTAGGGGACCAAAAAGTGATTTGATTCTTAAAGTTCGAGAGTCAATATGCCTAGAAACCACAACCAGATCAGTGGATCTAAGAAAAGAACATTCCAAAAAGATTATGTGATAGAGAAAGAAAAAAAAATTCTTCATGAATATTTGTTTCTTGATGTCAATGAAAACAGATTCGTTGAAAAATATGTGATAAAGAGAAAGAAACACAAATTATTCATGAACATTTGTTTCTCGATGTTAACGACAACGGATTCGCTGAAGAATATGAGACAAAGAGAAAGAAACAAAAATTATTCATGAACTGTTGTTTCTCGATGTCGATGACAGCCGATTTGCCAGAGAACATGGATAAAGGGAAAGAAAAACAGATTCTTAATAGAATTTTCTCTCAATGTCAATAAAACTAGGGTTGAATGCACTATTCCCCCAAACTTTTCTCATTTCTACCCGATCCCCCCATACTTTAGGTCTCTTTGTTTTACCACCTTAAAAAGTACAACTCTTCATAATTCCCCCTGAACTAATTAATCTCTTCAATTTTTCCAAAATCGTGTTTGTGTGTCATTATCCGGTAATTAACCGATAATTGCGTTTACTGTAATTACGTTAGA